ACCCAATCCACACTAAATTCAACCCGTAATCGATCGATCAGGGTGATAATCGTGGAGCCGACCGTTTCGGGGTCAGAGCTAATATCGCAAAGGTCATTCGAACCGATCTCCAGCACTACTACGTTCGGTTGCAATACGTGGAGTTTTACCAAATCAAACTGCATAAGCTTATCAACCGTTCGGCCGCCTATGCCCGAAAGGAATACCCGGCAAGTCTCTTCAAGATTCAGGTTTCGTGAGGGTCTGTTCTTGTTTGCGAACGCTTTTAAACGGCGAACAAATGAATGACCCAACAACAAAGCGCATGGTTTGACCTCTTCTGGATTTGACATGCTAAATCCCCGGGGAATCAGAGCATAAAAATCGAAAATAGTACTGACAAGAACACCAACCGCACAAAATTAAAACAATACCCAACTTGAGTCCAGTCAAGAGGAAGGATGGTGGAGAAAAACCTCAGATGAAATTCTAGCACGATGCTTTCTTCAGTCGACGTGGAGGGAGAGAAAGCGCATCGAGGAATGTGACGTCATAACCGTGCGTAGTACCGGAAGCCCCTCAGTCGGAAGTGAGAACGGAGTCATAACAAGCATCTTAAAACCATTTATTTTACCGGGTAAAATAAATCTCCTTTAAGATTTTCTTCCTTCTCTTCCCCATTCTGGGCTTCAGAACAATGATTATACGGTTATCTGGTCTCAGGGCACCATCAAAACGTGACCAATTAACTTCCATTTTTCCTCTCCGATTTTGTTCAAGAGAAAGTGTCCCGTTTCCATGTTAAATTGTCATATTTCACCAAGTATTGAAATACATTGAATAGAAAGATTCTACAAGGAACAATGAAAAGGCTTTCGGGGGGGAAAACAGGACTACATGGAGAGTAGTGGATTATAGTTCAGTATTTCATCTTGTGATGGCTTGTATAAAAATAAATAAATGGAAATTTCCATTCTGGCAAAATTTGAAATCTCTTAACGGATTACCTGTTTTTCTGTTTAGCCGATGTTTTTTTCTTTCCCTACTTCTGATGTATTTCTATTGCAAGATGATAAAGCAAGTTAATAGCCGGCTCCCGACCACACATGAACGTAATACAATTAAAACACAATATACTTTGCCTCTTTAAATATAACTCAGAATGAGAAAATGAGAACACTGTCCTACTGTCAAGGAATATTCTTTAAAATATATATAATAGTAACCTTACTGAGCTTCGTGAATCTAACCCAAGGTCCTAGATGTCTTATTTGTGTCATCGCATTTTTTTTCCTTGCCGACGTACTGCGCAGGCTATCAAATGACTAATGTCTTAACAAGTTTGTTTACTTCTGTTTTCAGAACAACCCACTATCACTGTACAACCACAAGCTCATGAAAAAACTGAGGGAGACACCGTTACTTTATCTTGTAAGGCTGATGGTAATCCAGTACCGACAATATCATGGACTGTAAATGGGTCCCCAATAAGTGTAAGAGACAATTCCAGGATCAGTTTTTCAGAAAACAAACAGCAGTTGACAGTAAGGAATGTGGAAAGAACAGACAGCGGAGTCTACAGATGTGTGGCGAGCAACAAATTTGGAAATGCTACATCCGATGCTGCTTCACTGGATATTCAATGTAATGAAATATCTGATGTTGATTTAGTTACCAACTGTGACGAAAGCTCTGATTCTCCTTACAGTACAAAGCAATTTATCGTGCATTTTACTCACCGTATTTGTTTGGTTGGCTGTGATCGTATAGTTCAATTATATCGTTGGCATCGAATTACCTTGTCACATCACTATGGACAATTGGATTGCCACACTAAGAAGTGGCGTCATTTCAACATATAACATAGCGTGATGATAGCATTGCTACTAACTATAGAGACAGTGAGAAAGTAAAAGCTAATTTTCCCATCTAACTTTTTGGCTCCAGTGGACAACACAAACCAATAAGGTTTAATTATTACTCTTATATTCTTACGTGTTTACCCACTAGCTGAAATCTAAGCTTCTTCTAAGTTTTTACACTCGGATTACAAAAAGAAATACCCGAGAGTCCTTTTAAATCGAACAATGGCTTCAAGCGTTAGAACTAGTTAGCGACCACTCCTGAACTCGATATCGGTGGATCAAATAAGATATTGCAAAGCTGGCACCTTTCTTTTAAACAGAAAAAAAGAAAACAACAACAACAACAGGAAACATTAACAGCAACAATCTTCCATCATAAGCAGGCGAATATTAACGTTAAAAGCCGACGTTTCGGCGTCATCGTGACACCATTCTCAAGGCAAAGTGAACGAATAATGCGAAGATTTGATTTGTATACAGTCTCTACAAATTAGCATAATAACAAAGGATCACAAGTTCTTCAAGTGAATACCTTTGCGCGAATCGAGTCCGTTTGCACGTTTACGTCGATTTCTAACGTTAAAATTCGCCTGCTTGTGTTTTAAGAAATCGTTATTGATTAATCTTCCATCATTATGTTTTCTTAATTTTTTCTTTTTTTTAATTTTTACAATGTATCTTTCTGTTTTTTGTTCTGTTAGTTGCACCTGAGATCTCCAAACGTCCAAAGGATACTCGGGCAGTGGAAGGACAAGATGTTGTTTTCCACTGTTTGGTAGAAGGAAATCCAAAACCGAGTGTTGGGTGGACAAAAAATGAAGAAGAATTGAATTTAGCAGCAAATCCACGACTAAGCTCAGCTATAATAGACGACACACATAATTTGACAATAACTGATGTTCATCTACCAGACGCTGGTCAATACAGATGTCTAGCTAATAACAGTGTCGGTCAAACTACTTCATCTGCCGCGACGCTTATAGTGGAAGAATATTGTAAGTATTGAAGCCAATTCACCAATCAATCAAAAACCGCGGCAATGGATTTTCATCTTTTTCGACTTCAATAGGAAAGGGAATTTGTTAATTTTCCAATGCAAGCAAGTTGCAAGCAAGTTTGCTTGGCTGAAATTACCAGCTCATGCTTTCGGAGCGAAGGGTACAGTACCTTACGGAACTTTACGACTCGAGATGTGCCTTAACGAATTCTAATTCACAAGCCGGATTTCTGGTGCATAGAACCAAACCTTAAGCAAAAACACGGTAACCCAGATTTTTAACGCAAAAATTAGAACCGTGCCTTAATTTACCTAAGTTCACAACTCATATTACCAATTTAACATATGAATTGTGTGTTACAGAAATTCGTAACTTGGATGTTTCAATGTAAGCTGAAATCTGAGTTGCTCCTCATTTGAATTCACGACACGCATTTCCACTGTTCAAGGAGTGCTTTGTGGAAATGCACAGGTCGAACTTTCAAAGTGTGAGTTATAAGAACTTGCTAACCGGAGTTTTTACTTCAAAAATTCAGATTTGCAAGTATGTCACTAAAATTCACAACTCGTATTCTTACTCGTAAGTGTCAAAAAATCGGAGTTGCGTTATTCGAAACAAAGCAAAATTACAGCTGTGTTGCATTGTATTTGTTACAAAGATGCACTACTTGAATTTTGGGATGAACTTCAAATCCTTGAGGTGCTTTATCGAAATTTACAATTCCGATTTCCATGGCAGAAATCCGAATTGTGAATTCATTGCAGCAATGTGAGACCCATGCCAATTTTTGCTTAAAACATTAGATTTGTGCTTTATTGAAATTTCCATCTGTAATTTTGATTTAAAATTGCTAGTTTAAGGTTTTGTGAGTTGTTTTTTCAACCAGGCCCAGGATTCGGCTGGAATGCTTCTTTTTTTGATAAGATGGTAAGGAAAGGTATCTGGTAATTTTTTAATTGTTATTATTATATCAGACATATATTTGCATTGTAGATCTGAATTTATGATATACAATCTAAGTAATATGAAATTTGTAACGTATTGACCAAAATTATTTAATTACATAATCTCTGTATCTTAGGATGCTAATACATATTTTATTTTGTAATCATTTTTTTTTTTTTGTTTTTGTTTTTGTTTTTTTTTCGTACAATCTTTCTTTTTTTGTTTCAAAGAAGTTAGGGATGGAAAGACATTTTAAGAAAGGACCAGCTACCCGGCTGACCGGAAAATATGTTCAGTTTATTATCGCTTTTTTGATGTAAGCTGTCTTTATTAGCTTGTATCCAGTAGCCGAAGTCGTATAAAATAACGGATCTTGATGGAAATGTTTCTTTTTTTTTTCTTTCTTTTTTTTTTTTCTTTTTGCTTGGGAAAGATTTCAAAAAGACTCTATAATTTAAGCAAGGTCTTCCATTTTTTCATTGCACATTTCCAAAGCAAGATGAGGCTGCCAATAAAAACTACATTTCATTTACTCATAGGTACCGTTGAATTTGCTACCCAATTCAAGGAGTCTCCCTGTAGCTCAGTGGTTACATTTCCGAGCTTCGTTTCGGAAGGACATGGTGTCAGCTCCCATAGGGGGACTCCTTTTTTCATATTTGTGTCGGACCCCATTTTTCTTTTTCGTGCAATCTTTTTTTTTTTG